GGAAAACCGTCCCGTGCTTATTTCTTCTTTATTTTGTTTCTGGTGTGTCATGCTGCCTCTTCAAATCCGCCCCCTCCCCCAACTCCACATGTTTTATATTAACAGTACTGGGGATTTTTAAAAAAGCTGTCGTGTGTGACGTGTGATCTGGGTTTTTTTATTTTTCTTTAGGGTGAAGCGACTATTACAAATTCTATTAATCAATAAAGAGTCAAGTGTATTGTGTGGGACTTTTTTTTAGGATTATTGTTTAAAGGCCGGCATGTAGGGTGACGGATTGTCTGTTGGACTATTAAAGGGCGACAGGTAGGGTGTAGGAGTGTCTTTTGGACTATTGAAGGGCGACAGGTAGGGTGTAGGAGTGTCTTTTCGACTATTAAAGGGCGACAGGTAGTGTGACGGATTGTCTTGGACTATTAAGGGACTCTCTGGGTTTTTCTCAAAACACTGCACCCGGTTAAACCCTAGCAGAATTAGTTAAATGGTGTGTGTGTGTGAATTTTGGGCGAACTTGTGGGATCGCCCTTGTCGGCATTCTGTCAACATTGCAACTACTTGTTTCTTCTTGTTCTTCAGTCGGGAGTCAACCATGACCACTTCAATCATCAGATCTGTGCTAGTTTTGTTTGTGGGTGCGCAGATGGCTAATGGGGCCGATTCGGGCACGAAAGTTTCTTGTGCAGTAGGTGCAGGGGAATGACGGGGCATCTCCGGGAGCAGAGTCAGACTGGGCCTTCCTGGTATGTGTCTTGCGCTCTGCAGCCACTGTTCTCCCAACTTCATGTAGCTTGGAGCTTCTGTGTAAAGTGCAACGCCATGATCTTCGATCCTTTGCTTTTTTCCCACCCCGTGTCTGAGTTTATGTCGAACGCTTTCAGTGAGGTTTTTTTAGATTGTCTTTAAAACGTTTCTTCTGCCGGCCAGCAGACCGCTTTCCTTGTTCGAGCTCACCATAGATAAGTCTTTTGGGCAGATGGTTGTCTGACATACTGACAACATGTCCCGCCCTGCGAAGCTGTGACTTCATTAAGACGGTAAAGATGCTGGGAAGACCTGCCTGTGTGAGCACCTCAGTGTCTGGGACTCTGTCCTGCCATTTAAATGTTGAGGATTTTCTTGCAATAACACAACAAAAACTCACCGTAGTTCACTGGTGGTAACTGACCGGAATCTGGCCAAGGACACCACAGTGTAAACTTTTTAAACAAAACTTCCCGAGAAGTCTGTTGGGCATTTCATGGGGCTAGACTGCATCGGTGTACAATTCCTTTGCTAACTGTCGCAGTTTTAACACTGAGATTCATTAAATATTAAATAAAAGTTGATTATATCGATCCATTAAGGCAGTTGGGTGTGTAGACCAGGAGTTACGTCTAATATTTTGGGGAAGATCATCTTCAAGTTTTAGGCCTTGTACTTCAATTAATATTGTTAGAATACTCTGGAATGTCTATATAGGACGCCGAAGCAAAAAAAAAAAAGAAAAAAATATATAAAATTAAATTATATTATTAGGATAAGCTTACTATATTTCTTAAAGTTGCCTTCAACGACATTAATAATATTATATTGTAATAATAAATTTTTGGTTATAAGAAGTTTCTTTCTATATCATTCACTCGTCAATTTTGATGTTTTAATTATTGTTCTTTTTTACTCACCAGTCTATCAATCTATTGCTCTTCTTTTTTTTATCTCACCTCTCTATCAGTATATTGTTATTTCTTTTGACTCGTCACTTTATCTATCTATTGTGCTTCCTTTTAACTCACCAGCCTATCAATCTATTGCTCTTCCTTTTACTTATCAGTCTATTCATTCATTGCTCGTATTAATATCCTATCACTTCAAAGTATTATAAACATTTCAATATTATCAAAAGTTATGAGTCATCCAAATATTACGTACTGGGACGGGGGGGGGGGGGGTTGATTTGCTTTTGGAGAGTTTGCGTAGCGTACGTATGGCCGAAGAAAGAGCGGCCGTGGGGGGGGGGGGCAATAATGTGTAGGCTAGGTACATATATGCATGTAGTCTGCCATAAGTATCCTGAAATTATGACATTATAAATAGCTTATTTATATCTCTAATAATGTCAACCTGCCATATGTATCCTGAAATTATGACATTATAAATAGCTTATTTATATCTCTAATGATGTCAACCTTCACCTAACCTCTGTGAAATCCATGAGCTTTAATTATTTTTAAAGCTTATAATTATAACTAAAAAAAAATATCACCGAAAAGTTTCGCTACAAAACGTCCAAGAAATTTCCCAGTGGGCTGCCAGGGACGGTTGTATGGGGCTGCCTGGGCCGGTTGTATTGAGGCTGCCAGGGCCGGTTGTATTGGGGCTGCCAGGGCCGGTTGTATTGGGGCTGCCGGGGCGGGTGGTTTGGGGCTGCCCAGGCCGGGTG